GAAATCATTAACGCTGTTGAGATCCTTCAATAGACTGACCATGACCTAGCGTAGTGGTTCTCAAATGGGGCGCGACCTGCAAGGGGGCCGTAGACAATTGTTTGATGGGGCGTCAAGCTAATTAAAAAAGAAAATTTGATTTGATGTTGCATGCCTTATTTTGGATATTTACATTAATTTCATTATTTATGTTTCATCCACGTAGATTTATTTCAATAAGCTTCAAGCCCCCTCAAATAATTGTTTACGCCTTCCTTGTGGGGCGCACCCCATCGCTTGAGAACCACTGTTTTAGTTTTATTTCATTTATTTAATCAGCCCATTGGTCACCCTGTATATAATCACGTATGTATCAACCAATCAAATCAAGGATTTGTTATTCAAATTTTGACTTTTAACACACTCCACACACACAATTAACTGAAACAACTTTGGTAATTGAGGTATTGAAGAGAGGAGGACATAGCTGCTCGAGACATTATAAACTTGACTATAATTATAAATACAAGGTGTGCATAAAATCCATTTCAATTTAAATTTTGTTAAGAAGTCAATTCTCAGTATATCTCAACCAGGTTTGTTGTTTTTAATCAGTTCAAGTAGTTTTACTTCATTTAATACATATGTGAGGCCAAAACAATATATGGTATCGATAAATTCCCTGCAATTGTAAATAATTTTAGGACTTTATGGACATCCCATATTTATTAAAAAGTCTGTGCTTTGTGCGCTTTGTGAAAGATCAGAAATATTCCATGCATATAAGATAGAACATTTTGTCTAGTCATGCTTCATTGGTCACTGGTGGTCATTTACAAAGGTAAAGTCCCAAGCCTGCAGCTGAATTCTTAGGGTACAGTAATTCGAAAGCCACTGATGTGTGTTACGGAGTTTCTGCTGTTACAGATTTAAGACTCAATGCAAGAAACAGCACAACATAGCCTGCAGTCGCTATTGCATTCTTACCGGTACGAATCCTTCTCCCCCAGACAAGAATGAGGTGTTCGACAAGATTTATCTTCATTCCCTGTTGGTGGGGGGTCTGAGACGTCGAAAGACGCCACGGCTCACGAAGAACCTGTTGGGGTGAAGCAGGGTCGTAGCAGAAGAGTGGAAAGTCAATTTGAGGAACTTTAGGGTCAAAGGTTATTTTGTAGAGGTCAAATTTTAAGTTGAAGGTCATTTTGTAAAGTAGAGGTCAAATTTAGGAGTGAAAGTCATTTCGCAAATTAGGAATCAAATTTGGGGTTGAAGGTCATTTTGTAAATTAGAGTTCAATATTTTGGTTCAAGGTGATTTTATATTTTGGGGTTAAATGTCATTTTATAGAGGTCAACTTTCAGGTTGAAGGTCATTTCACACAGTAGAGGTCAGAATTGGGGTTGAAAGTCATTTTATAGAGGTCAAATTTATAGTCGAAGGTCATACAATGTTAGACAAAACCACCCAAACCATAAAGTACGTTATTTCAAGCACCTAATGTTTCGTTATATGTTGGAATGATAAGGGGTCATATCAGGTTCAAGGGTCATAAGATCAGGAAGTAGGAAAAAAGTTCAATAAAGAGAGAAAAGGTGAAAATGATTAGAGCAATGAAAATAATATTATTGTAAAAATGGTTTCTAGCGGAATAAGCTTACACAAGTCTGGCTCTATATGCAATTTGCAAAATTATACCCCTACGTGATTCAAACCTTGTACTCACACATGGTAATCAAAAGTGAAATGACAAGCATGTACTAATCCATTAGAAACCATTTCTACAAATATACAAGATTGTTAAAATTAAAACAAACATCTAAAATATAGCATTGCATAATCTCTTGTAAACCAGGTAGAATACAACTGTTTTATTTATGTTATTTATACAAATTTGCCAAAAAGTAGGCCGTTAACACAGGTATCAATAACAGTAGTAACTCTTGGACCAACCTGTAATGCGTTCAGTACTCCCGAAGTATGTGAACCAAGATGGTGGACACCGAAACATAGTATGTATACCAGATTAAGGTTAGGTCATAATTTTTTTCCAATTTTCCTTATTTTAGTTCTATTTCGAGTTCGGGGACTAGCTAAGGACTCCCTTAAGGCCGCTGCACACATGCCCGGCAGAACGGTATCCGATGGGGATTCCCCATTTGAACGCGTTGTGGCCGACGGCCCTACGGCTTGATTTCTGCGGTTCTAATACACACTATGTGTGTCAATAATCAAGGGGTAAAGTGACGCACGGTTGGATTTTCGACCGTGTTTTGTTAATTGTAATAGGAGTTTTTTTTAGTTGGTTTATATGACACGATCATGATGGGATGTTTGCAAAGAGGCAATTAATGAGCCTACCATATGCGAGAATTCCCGTCCTAGATGTTTTGCTTAATCCTCAAACACGTTTCTTCCCTTTATAAAATCTATTCAACCGCGTTATTTTCGCCATGATTATAGAACCACCACCACTAACAAGTCAAAACAATGATTTCATGGCAGCCAACCTCTACCGAATACCCATCATCACTAATGCATTCTGCATTGCCACAGCCCAATCTTAATCTGCGGTGTTTGGTGCATCCATACCATAACGTAATTTAAACCGTGGCTTCTGAAGTGACCACATATATAAACATGTTAATAACTTTCTTAAAACCTATGAACAGGAGACTTAGCCCTCACATGTTGGCCAACCCCTGGAAATTAGCAATCCATCACTCAAATCATAATGATGACATGAATTTAAGAATTTCTGAGCCCATCTCCAAATACTATTCATTCAAAGTAATATTAATTAGCTACATACATCCAGTAGCCCATTTTCTTCAGAAAATACACAAAACAAGACAACATCACTGTTTCATTATTACATTTCCTATTTTATTTTGCCCAAAACGAATGAAAACGCCACATGAAAAGAATAACATTAAAAGCATGACTAAAATATAAGCCATAACTTTATCTTATTAAGTCCAATCTTCTTCATTATCTGGTATACAGACAAAATGTGTAGCTACTGGCCCTGTTCAGAAGCAAAAACCTCTACCACGATGTCACGAAACAACACAATGCTCATATCTTTCATGCATGCTTCCGCTTCAAGTAACGGTCTTGAACGTAACTGAGCTGCCACAAGATTGCCAAAATGCTCAAATTTATCTAAATATCTAGTATTCTCCAGCTGCTGGGTGCTTTTTCTCAAAAAGTTCACCATCTCTGCCTGAAAAATAATACATCAAATACTCTTAAATCTTTCATTCCATCAAATTCTCAACTCCAACGACACTAATGTTGTTAGCTTTAATCTATTTACAGCGACAAGTGTATCAGCTTAAACAGAATCAGGAATACCCAAATTGATTTCTATATAACATGGACTAAATCTAAGCTAACTGATCTTTTGTCTACCTGTACTTCCACTTCTATCTGATCTTTTTCTTTTTGCAAAGGTCCTGATTGAACTTCCATTCCACTTTTCTTTGTGGCACAAAGATGGACTTTCCAAGGTCAAGTTGTATAGATTCTGCCAGGAAATAAAAAAAGTTCTTTGTTTACTGTAATCAAGTGATCAAATAAGTGATTAGGAGTACCAATTCGATTATGAAAGAAATGAATGGAAAGTTCTACATCGAAAACTGTAAAAATAAAATAAAACCGGTCGAACCCCCCTAAAAAATAAAGCTCTGTGATATCTCTATGATTTATATAATCTACATTGAATTTTATACATTCCAGATTCAAAACAAGTCACTATTTTTAAACGTGAAAAGTATAAATATATCATGTAATTAATAATTTCAAGTATACAGTGAATGGATATACCTGCACAATACTTCTACAGATTGTGCGCATAATACAAGCATTTCCATCATAAAAAGAGACCCTCTCAACTTATCGTTCTGATACTAGCTACAGAGCTGTTTAGTCCGCTTACCTTCCACTAGTATTTTCCAGTCAAACTCTCTATTTGAGGTATCTTGCTCCATACAGGCTTGAGGCAAGTTATCTACGGTTCTGCAAAGAGTGATACTGATTAAAAAAACATAAACTCGAATAACATAAAACACTATTATCATTGAATTGAAATTTACATTCCCAAACTAGTTTGAAATTTTTGAATGAACAAACAAATCAAGATGCTGCATCACAGAACATCCAGAGGTGCACAGAAGATATTAGTATAAAAAGTGCCTATCGTATTTATTGTAGAAAACAATTGATTACATAACTCACTTTCTGTGTTTAATGAAGGGATCTAGAAATGACAATTGGTAATAGTACGGCCATTTTTCCAATTGTGGATGCAGCTGACCCACTAGAATTTTCTCTATTTCTCTATGCTTCTTCCCATACGTTGTTCTCAAACTATTCCATCTAGTTTTGCAATGCTCAACTAAAAAAACGTGGAGAATTGGTATGAAGTAAATATAAGTGACTTGTATGAATGGCATTACGAACAGTGTCTCATAGCTAACAAAATTCCAACATCAAATTATTTGGCATGGATTTTATTTCCAAAAACTCCAATTTTGTTTGCAATTATTGTTCAAAATTTTTGCCATCTGTTCAAGCATGATTAAAAGCTTAAGACAATATGGAATCTATAATCACTTACTGAAGTGGAAAAGCAGCAACCTGAAGCTTCCACATCCATTGCCACGTCTTTCCACAGCTGGTCTGTTTTGATTTCTGTTTTTGTAGTCAACATGGTACTTACTGATTGTATAGAGGCTCTCTGCTTGAGATGCTGTCTATTAACCTGCATTAAATCCATATTTAGCTCCTAATGCAGTAACAAGTCTACAAGTAACCTGAAAAATTGAACGGCAACCATTATTCAACTAGCATCCAAAAATCAATTATTCATGTATTTCTCAATTCATGAGTACATAAAATCATGACTTTATAAATGGATGAATGAGAACCATCAAAAAAGTCACACAAAATTCAACCAAGGTGGGAATATGGGGCCTTCGAAAGAAATTACGGCAGATGAACATTGTTTCGTTAATAATCACAATATCTTCATAAAAGATTAATAAACAAAAGAACTGTATTACAGCCAATTTACCAAAATACATACAACCTACTGATGGTGCTTTTAACAAAACAGTTTTATTTATTTCAACTAGTAGAATCCATTTTATCAATGATTCCACTGCCATGGTACAGCCCCTACGGACATAAAGAACTGGCACAGTCTATCTCTAAAAAAAGCTGCATTTCGGGAATAATTGTTTGAGCCGAAATGGTGCAAAGGAAACATATTCAAATTTGCTGGCAAGCTATTCCTCCAATTTCCTTCAGTCACTGTTCCAAGTGGGCCCATGCTGTCACCATAAACAGAAGTCTTCCCCTGCGGTTGCTGGAGGTAATTGTGCAGTACAACACAAGATTGTACAATTAATGTGGCCAATTCTGGATCACAGTTTATAGTTTTGAAAAAAACCTGCCAACGAGCAGCTAGAATCCCAAAAGTGTTTTCCACAATCCTCCTAGCCCTGCTCAACCGATAATTGAAAATTTTCTGACTCCTATCCAGTGCACGACCAGGATAAGGCTTCATAATTCCAATTTTCAACGGGAAAGCATCATCTGCAGCAAAATATAATGGGATGGATTCACTAGTGCCAGGCAGAGTCTGTTGGCCAGGAATATTGAGGCTGGATTGATCAAATCCTTTTCCCAATCGTGAGTTTGAAAAAACTCCACCATCACTGTGTCTACCAGAATTACCAATGTCGACAATAACAAACCTATATTGCGCATCACAGACGGCCAAAAGAACAATTGAAAAGTAACCCTTATAATTATAGAATTCACTGCCACTATTTGGAGGGCATTTTATTCGCACATGCTTCCCATCAAGAGCCCCAATGCAATTTGGACACTGCCATCTAAAATTAAATTCCTTCGCTATCTCCAACCATTTTTTGGGACTGGGTGGAGGCATAACTTCATTAACAAGTTCTTTCCACAGAGCAGACATTGTTTCTCTGAGAATTGTCCCAACAGTTGAGTGGCCGATTCGGAATGAAAATGCAAGATCCAACTGAGAAGCACCAGTGGCCAGATATCTGTAAGAAAAAACAATATTCAATCATGCGGTAAAAATACAAATTCATCGGTAAAGCAAATTCATTGTCTCATTGCATATATAAATCCTAATCAACGAAAAGACACAAAATTATTAGAACTCGTCATCAAGCAGTTTGTGCCCTGCATATTTGTGCCAAATTTGAAGCAGGTATCAATGGATATCACAGTGAATTAGGTCATATCAACTGAAATATGAATAATTTTGTTGTAATATCCAGTGGAAACAGAAATTATGATACTTGAATTATTAGAACAACTATTCAAATGATACTTCATATTATATAATACTAACCGAATAGTCAATATTAGCCTTCGCTTGGCTGGTATGGCACTTCGCCAAAATGTGTCTTTTTTGCTGATTAGCGATTCAACTTTATTGAGCAAATATTCAAATTGATACTTTTGCATACGAAAATACTGATGGCATTTTTCTTCGTCAGGAGATTCCAAAATTTCTTCTGCTAATAAGAATTCAGACTTATCACTTCCATGTAGAATCAGGTCATGGACCCACATTTCCCTGTTATAGAACATACAAATTTAGTACGACTCCTATAATTGTATTTGTATGCAGATTAAAAATGATGGGTATGCTAGCATGGTATCTGACAACGAAAATACCGTAATTGAGAATTTTAACGATAATCAGTAGTTAATTTTTACTATACTAAAATACCGGTACAGCTTTATAAATCTCAATTGCCGATTTTTTGATTCAAGCTGAATCTCAAAATTGCACAAAACCAGGGTGTTGTGCGAAAGAATGTTTGCATGTCAATATACGGTACCTACCGTACCAGTAAATAGTGAACTAAGTACCGGTACCGGTAATCTCTGCATATCTGTAGTCTAGATACCGGTACCGTACTGTATGGCACCGGTAGGTTCCGGTACCGTACCGGTATGCTACTCACCTGGTAGGCCAAATGTCTTGATACAACGTATACATCACCGTCGTTTTAGAGATGAGTCTTGAGATTTGATTACCAATGGGATCCATTTTCTGTATATTTTCCTTGCTGACCGCTGGTTGGTATAATAAAATTGGGCCTAGCGCAACAATGAAATCGATTCGAAATGGTCCTGTATTAATAGCCTACCGGTACGTTCACAGACTCAGGAATCAGTACGTTAGTTTATCACGTAGGCTAGACTTGCAACTTAGACCAATTAATATCAAGAAAACCGCACCACACAGACACAGGTTACCACTAAATACTGCAGAAGCTAGCGCATGTTTGCCACGCAATGCGATAAAGTCAAGCATGCTTCTACTCCGTCGTAGAGCCGTAGCAGCGAGAAAATCAACCCGCGCGATTATCTCGATCTGCTGAGTCATGCGCAGAATCGGTGATGTGTGTATCCACACCCGGTAGCAGCCGGACGAACTTGCCGTGAGCTGTCGTAGACGAGCCGTAGCCGTGCATGTGTGCATCCCCCTTTAGTATTTGTACCTGAGATTATGGCCTAACCCTGACCTGGTACACATACTACATTCCGGTGTCCGCTATCTTGGTTCACATACTTCGAGAGTACCATGTGTTCTATGTGAAAATTTTTCGCATGACCAATACTGGGATTTAACAAACACGGAGGAATTTTGGGGAGAGATATGGAAGTTGAATGCCTCACACAAACAAATAACCCCACCCCTCCATTCATTGTTTACATCCCCCCCATACCTACCTGACTAAAAAATAAAAATAGTAAAAAATCGCAAATTAGGTTTAAAAAATGTAATCATAGTTGCAATCGCGTGTTCCGTAGAATTACAAAAAATTAAAAACTAAAAATTAAGACAGAGAATTATGCAAACAAGGGGTGTTAGTAATATCATGCATGAGTGATGATTAGATAAACAGCCAATCACAGCCAGTGTATTATGACACGCCTGAAGATGTCATATTAGACTCACCGGACCAAATCCTCCCCCTTGTGGTGTTAAGTCAGTGTGAAAATCTTTATAATGGTCGATACGACCAGTTTGGTTAACTGCAGTGTGGGATGTTGACAATTCCCACGCTTCATCGAGCACCTACCCCCAAATTATGATGTCACAACGAAACAAAGTAAATCATTTAAACAGACATGGTCAGGTTAGGAAATGAATTTCCACGCTTCACCAAGCATCTGATTTCAAATTATGATGTCATAAATCAAAATATGATGTCACAATAAAACAAAGTGATGTGGTTTAGAGTGATTTTTACACCATGAAGATGAATACTAATACCATATTATGACACCAAAATATTCTAAAAATGAAAATCGTTGCACTATAGTGATGTCACAACACAACCATAGTTACATCACAATACAACATCAAAACTAAAAAGCAACTTTATAGAAACAGTGAATTAGATGTAAGGGTTAGCGTTAATTAATACAAATGGTTAGAAGCACAACCCAAAAAATATTTGAAGAAATTTTTAAGAATGTATTTGGAATGATAGGGTATCAGGTTTAGGCCAGTTGTTCCCGAAGTTGATTGACCGGGGACAAATTAGAAGCAGAAGGATATTTGCAGGTCGGGAGAGTGGAGCGCCCGCTAGGGGTCGAAACCAGTACCGGTACATATAATTTAGATACCGGTATAAGTAAGAATATATACAGGCTTAAACTGTGATAATGACGGTATCTAGAACTAAAAAAAATGTGTTAAACTGTTTCACTTGAGTTCGGCGGGCCATATTAAATCGTTGACCGGCGGGCTGCGGTTGGGAACCACTGGTTTAGACCATTTTTGCTTGTGTCCACCTACATACTCCTATTTTACTCATGAGTCATGACCCCTCCAGATTACAATCAATATTCCACATCCGGATATATTATATTTAAATGTACAAAGTACAAGTATTTATTTTGAGCCAACCCTGTATTATTTGTTAAGTCAGTTTGAGCGTAATTTTAGAAAAAAGTCAAAAAAGACTTGAATATTAATCAAGGTCAAACATATTTAAAAGTAGGGCAAAATTTACAAAATTCACCACGGAAAAATCAAAGCAGTTTATGTCACTTTTTTCAGGAATTTCCGGTGACCGTACATTTGAACCCATGTACATTTGAACCCATGTACATTTGAACCCATGCGTATATCCACGGGTTCAATCTATATGCGGGTGCTAAAACCCATGGGTTAGGGTTAGTATGGGTTTAACTATCCGTGAAACAAAAAGAATTCTTATAGGTGCAATAGCATACAGGTGCAATTGTCATGGGTTCAAATGTACGTGGGTTCAAATGTAATGGAACCGAATTTTTCATCTACCATCATTATAGACCATCTTAATATGGCGTACCTGCACCTGTTTTAGTTTTGATTGCAAGTCGTCCCTTATGTGCATTTTAGTTTTGGTTGTTAGAACCATACTAACGTTGTTTAACTGAAAATAAGACCTAGCCTGAATTTTGAAAATGATTTTAATATAGGCCCTCCCTTTAAAATAAGACCAAGTCAATGGTACACGGTATTACAAAAATGCGATTTTCACAAAACCTTAAGATGTGACATAAGCCAATTTTGTTGAATTGCAGCAAGACAGACTTACTTAAGTTGGGAGTTATTGCGACAGAAAACATGAAAACAGATTGAAGATTAATGAAAACAGTAAAAAGAAAGACACACAGCATGATAATAGTTACTTTTTAGAGTAGAGAAACTCAAAGATAAAAAAAAGTTTTCTTTTTAATATGAAAAAAATGTGATATGCCTGTAATGACTACCTCCAAAAAATGGGATTCCCCCTCCCTCCTTCAATTTTTAAACTATGTTTTTTGAAAGGCTAATGAGTCACAACCTATGGGTGTATTTAAAAGGTCCAATGACTTGTCATGGTTAGATGAGTTAAAGTGCAGGATTGAAATGAAATTAAAAATTCAGGGAAGATTTCTTGCAAACTGTTAATTTTTCGTTATCAGAAGAGTCGTGGTCTAATAAGTAAATCTATAGTGTCGAAATGAACCAAAATTGACGTGATACTATATGCCCATCCGGGGGTCGCGAGTATTTGTAACTGCTTTGTCACAGAGTGTTCAACTAAAGAGTCGCAGTCTAACTAATAAAAATACAGGGTTGAAATGAACTAAAATTGATGTGAAACTATGGCACATTCAGGTGAATGTATGGATTTCTAAAGTCAAAACTGCTTTGTCACAAAGGGGACGACTGTTTGCTGTATATACATACAATGACAAATCTTGTTAAATATTGAGTTAGATATGATTTTAAAAATATCGGACATTGTATCGAACAAATAAATGATTGTTTCTGTGAGTGCAATTTGCAAATTTGAAAAAAAATTCGTGAAGAATTTATTGACAGTCATGCTTCAATGACTAAAAATGAAGGGTGTAAGGCAATATAAAGACAGTCACGGTTGAATGATTAAAAATGCAGGGTTAAAATGAAAATAACATTCTCCATGATTTTTTATCTAACGATCTTACATGTTTGAGAAACTTAATGATAGGTATGGTTGAATGAATAAAAATGTCGGGCAAAATGAACAAATAATTTAGGATTAGAAATGTTCGCCAGAACATCATGGTCTGATGAACAAAAATGCGGGGATAAATTGAACAAAAAATTGATGAATATGGATAAGCATTAGATTGACGCATGATTGAAAAAGGAATGGCAGTCATGGTTGGATGAGTGAAAACGCAGGGTTAGAATAAAAATAGAAAAATTTAAATACAGTTATGGTCTGATGAGTAAAAATGCAGGGATGAATGGAACAAAAAATTGATGATTACGGATATTCACTATAGCTCCACACATACACTAAGAGCTGTAATTCGAAATATCAATTTATTGAATTCTTTGGACATTCTTTGAATTCTTTCATTTTCCAAGGCGAAGATCCAACGGCGAGACAAAATTAGGTTTTAGCGATAGCTTGCACCAACATGATAAGGAACACCGAGAAGAAAAATGGTCGTTGTGAAAGATGTATGAAAAACTGATGTAAGTATAACTATGCTTTTACTTTCATGTAATGTTTATGGTGTGAAACTATGTTTGAAACTATGTAATTAAAAAACTCTGCACACCAGCACACCCAGGGTTGCAATAAATTTGGGGAAAGCAATGAAGACTAATGAATGTAAAAGTCCAGCTTTTATTCCAATGTTTATCAAGGGGTTGGGCCCAAGTACACTAGCAGATTTCTCTGGTGCAAACATTGTGCCGCCCCACTTCACCCACCCACCTGGGTAAGCAATGCTGAAAGTGGGGCAGGTGTTTTAAAAGGCAATGAAGATTAATGGATAAGGTAGACCAGCTTTCATTCTGAAGTTTAAGGTAGGGGTGTGCAACCTTTATTTAACTACAGCGTGCGGGCCAAATCCGGCCCGTTGGGTAATTCAATAGGCCTGCCTGATGGTGCCACAACCAAACTAAAACCAAATTTTGATGTTTTAGCTAAAATCATAGCTCGAGAAATTTGCTAAGATTGCGATTAAATTTAGTGTTTGCACGGGGCTTATTGTTTTCCACTCATTCTTTTGTAACACTATTCCTAAAATGTAACGATCCACTTTCTGGATATTCTACTAAAATTAAACTAAAGTTATGTATTAAAGTGCGGTGTCACACCCACAAATTAGGGGGGATGTTTAAAATTTTTAAGGGGGGTGTAGGGAAACCACTGCTGACAGTGGATTGGAACCTTTTAGCTCCCAGCATCACCTACACAATTATTTAAACTCAAGGGGGCAGCCGCCCCGGGCAGCACGTTGTGGGGGGCAGCAGAACCAAGCTGTAGAGTTAACGTTATAACATATGTTTTTTCTCGATGTGTTTTTATTTAATTAAATCATTAGGCTATAATTTAGGCTGGCAGTAGTTATAGTTTCGTGTAAGTCATTGTGAGTCAACAATGGATGTTTCGCTGACCCTTGACCCCAGAAGAATTCTCCATCCGATTTTTTGCCATGACGACAGTTTTGCGCGCGCGCGCGCATTTCTTGCGTGCATGCGAGGCTGCAAAGTTTGTTTGATTCCAGTACGACGATTACTGCCGAACACGACGATTGGTTTTGCTTAGTCTTCTGTTTTCTTCTTATGTAATTTGATCCACGGATGAAGCGAATACAACCAAGTGGAGCTCAATATCGTCGCAAGAAAAGACGCAGGAAGCAGAAGATAATGTCCTGAGAGGCTCTT